ACCTGAAGCCTGCAGATTCTTCATTTCTCATCTCTGTAAGCTCAGGTGCAATTTAAGAACAAACAATGAAGGACCACCTTGCTCTCAAGCAATGCTATGTTGAAGGTATACAAGGCCAACCTCTTTGTCCCAAAGCCAGCTCCATTAGATATATGATGGTTTGCCATTGAGTGTTAAGTTTCATTATTGATCTCCAAAATGATCATACCAATGACATTGCAGAATTTCTTATTGATAAAAATTTATGGGTGCTTTGCTTTGATTACTGTTTGCTTAGTGACATGGAAGACCCTACTTTTGAGAAGTTGCAAGTCTCATATTGGGCCAGCCAGTACTTGACCTTTTTGCATAGGGAAATTCCTCCCCATTCTGCAATAGTTTAAAGAGAGTGCTTCTTTATCACTTTTAACTTGTAGAAGCAATCGGTGTGGAAAATAAGTAGTTTTCCTAAAAGTCCACGGGGTCATTCCGAAACAAGTATGTCAACACTTTCATAATACTTGAGTAATTTGTTACCACTTCAAGTAAATTGTTGAGGGCTAATTAACCTGTAATCTAGAAAACTTTATCATGAAAGGTGACTTCTTTTGGACCTCAGTTGATCACCAACTAATTGATTGAGATTAATAAACATGCTAGCAAATTGAGATTCCTATCACTAGGTTTGCAAACAAGAATTACTAGTTGGTGTTAACATGATGAATATTGTTAGTTTTCCTTGCGGGAGATTATTGAAGAACAACCTATTCACTCTTGTAAAACTGTCTTGTGGAAACCAAAGAACGAAATGTCAGACGTGTAGAATTCTTAGCCATCGTGAACTACCATGGAAAAGACAACAAGCAAGCACATGGTAGAATTAACAGGGCAACATATCCAGGAAGCAACACAACCATACATAAACATCTGTTACTCAACAAGTACATAAGAGCAAAAGTAAAATAACAACATAAAAGAAAGAGAATTTCAAAACAAATAAGAATCCCACCAGAAATGTTGTCAAACTGGAAACAAAAACAGCAAATGACCAAAATTATGCTTCTCGCTTATTTGCCTCTTCTCTTGCAAAATGTAGAAATCAGCTACCTGTTTAACATATCCAAAGACATGTCAGAAGATGATGAAGTTCATAAGTAAACAAACCCAAGAAACTGTGTAGTTCATGCCATGCCAAAATTTGAGAATGGTTGTACTATCTATAAGTTAAGATCATCCACTTGTTCAGATTAAGATAAGATTCTACTGCATAAATCCTCGCATTATCAAAATACTTTTAGATACATACCCACTAGTTTAAAGCAGAAGATACATAATGGTCAGTGAACTACAACCATTAGAAAATATTATGAATTGAAAGCATTTATAGTACTTACAGGGGAGAAGGCTTTCTGTGTATGTAAAGACAACAGGAGAATCCTGTCCAAACACCTCCTGAAGATAAAGTTGCTCCCAGGTAGTCCTGTCGGTATTAAAGATAAAATAATGTTCTGTAGTTATGAAAAAAAATTCATTATTCCTTCCAGCTACAGAGTCAATGCACTCTTCAACAGCGTGTTCAATATAAGCACTGCACTTCTTCTCCCAATAAGATTCATTTGCATCCTTTAACATCCATACATCCATAATTAGATCATCATCATAGACAGCAACTAACGATAAGAAACCTTCCAGAATAATTAGGAAGGAGTGTGCAGTGACTTCTTCTGGAAGTTCAATGGTTTTAAAGTTGTCCTCCATATCCACTGAAAGAATGCTTCCAGGGGTAGAATGATCTTCTTCTGAAGCAATAAACCAGTAAACTTGTCCATTAAAATATACGTGATTTGCACCCATAGGATATTGCTGAACAAAACCTATGCCTCTCCAGGTTCCAGTGCTTGATGAAAATATCTCACACTGAGGGCTGACTACTGGCTTTTCAAATATGGAGGAGAAAAACCGAAATACTCTATAATCACTGGTTCCTGGGCCAAAGGCAACCCCAATGCCTAGCTCCTGTTCTGCTGGGCTACCTCTTGGAAGTAACCGAATTTCACGAGTAGCGGGATTGCAGATTAGGATTTCCAAGTCTTCCTCGACCGGTTGCCTCATATATAAGTGAGGAAACCAGGGGTAAATGGTGAAACATATCAACCCATTGTAGGAACAAATCATACTAAGAGATGAAACATTTTCAAAACCAGGAAGAGTGATTATTTCAGTGGTTACCCCATCACCATCAACCAAATGCAATTCTTTTATTTCATCCATATAAGGATAAAGTATATAGATTGCATTTTCTCTTGACCGCATTAAATGCAATTTAGTGAAATATGGACTGCTAATCAATTTGTTCCAAAGTCTAGAAACAGCCTTAGAACGTATGATGCACTTGACTGGAAGCCTTGAAAGAATATTGGAAAGCACATCTTCCACAGTTTCCACATCAGACCAACTATCATTCTGCCTCCGTGAAAGTTTTGGGATACACTTCGCAACAGATTTATCCATTGTTTATCTGCTCTTATGACTCTTTTATCCAAGCGCTCTAACGGCTTTTGCTTCAAGAGAAACCCACTATTCTACCACTTTGACAGATTTCCAAGAGCATCCGCCTGCAATACGAATAGGTCAAGTTTTTGTGTCATATCTTATAATGGAGGAAAAAATATCAACATCTAGAGCATAGAAAAACAGAGAGAAATACTTCAGCTTAAGTTCTTTCTTTTTCCAAACTTCTATTTCCAAAACAGTTATAATATCTGAAGTCTGGACCCAAAAAAAACCATCTACAAATGGAGATGCTCCACGGCATCACAAGATGTGAATAGTAGATACACATAAAGCTCCCTGTCCATGTCTCTTAACACAAAATCTTAACAAACAATTGTCTTTTTACAGCAATATCAGTACTCAAAACTGACTAAAAATTAATACCATATTCATCTTGGGAAAATAATTCCAATTCTCACTTACAATAACCAATTATCATTTTAAACCAAATCAAATTGACCCAGCATACTTCCATGTAAAACTGCATCTTGCAAGTTATTCTCCTAGTCATGCATATCATTCTCTGAGCTAATAGTTTTATAATGATATTACGGAATTTTGGAATACAGAAAACGTATATGACAGCACATGTACATTGGTTCATTTAACATAAAGCTAGGAACACTTTAAATAATTATCAAAACTTGTAAAAGCACTTAAAAGGAAATGCATAGAAATGCTTCTGAAATAATAAACACCACATAAAACAAGCAGCTGAGGACATGGCCTGCAATTGAAGCCAGGCTTTGCCCTTGGGAAGTAAATGTACCCGAGAGCTGTCCTCACATTGACATAAGACGTTTAAACCTGTAACCAGATATCTAGGCAGCAAGAAAAGAGAAACAAAAAAGAAAATGGAACCCAGTGAAGAACAAGCACAAACATGATCAAGCCAATAAGCCACATCCTAACCATACTGAACTATCTTCTTATCAAGGCAGCTTTTAAATTTCATAGATAAACTATGTATATTAGGTCTGGATAATTCAACAGATAATTAGAAGAAATGGCATAGAGACTAAAAGGTCAAAAGAAAACAAAGTAACCAAGAAGACAATGAAGAATTTAAAAAGGGAGGAAAAAATAAACTAATACAAAAGGGCACAACGTCAAACGCTGAAATTTTATTTACCAATGCTCCTACAATTCATTCATGTGGTCAACTAGATCCAATCATAACCATACAAAATTCAGATAGAATTCTGAAGTGATTAGATTAGATAAATATATGATTAATGATGTGAAAGCTGGACAGTGCTGTTTACTAACAGATAGTCACATAAGAAACAAACATGTATATTGTAAGAAAATCACTGAGAATCGGGGGGGAGCAAAAAAAAATAGAAAAATACAAGTCAAGATCCCTCTTAAATTGGGGCAAGAAAAGGTATGTCCACATGCATCAGCTTGGAAGATTATAGCCCTCAAAGGAATTGGGGATGAGCAACAAATCAGATTACCTTCATATCATACCAAGATCAAATTCTGAATGTATCTTGAAATTATGCATTCTAATAAAATTGTGAGGGAAGGGGATATACTTTTTATGATGACACAATTTTGCAATTCATATGATAAAATGCCTAGGCATTTTTCCCTATTTCAACAAACAATCTGTTGTTGACAAATTGTTAGGTTTAAGTCATGAAGTGAAAATAAGTCATACATTGTGAAAGTATTGGTAATTGAAAAGATTATCCAGATACATAACAAAGGAACTCACCGATTACGATTAACCTCCAGGCCACTCTTTGGAAAGAGACTGGAAATTTTTTTGTTGAATGAAGGCGAACGAAACTGATAACTTATAAAGCGCATTAACCAGCAAAGTTTCTGTCAACCTGGCAATTCAAGCCTTCATGCATTGCAACAAGTGGTAGGTGAAATGAGATTAAGTGAGCGAGACCCCAATAAATAAAGGGTACCGATAAATAGATTTCCATATTACTCATTTACCCCGCTCCCACAGTACGCAAATTCTTTCGGAATTTAGTCATGACCTAGTTGCAATATTTAGCAAGTAAAACTTGTTACCTTTCATGATAATAGTGACTAATATATCCAAAAACATACTCTAAATACGATGAATACTATAACAGGACACAGAAATAATTTTGTAATAGTAATTCATCCAAATACAAGGTGTAATCAAATGCAAGTTAGGCATACCGCCTAAATCCTATTTATATGTTAACATGGTCTTACTGATGCCAAGGTTGAGATAAGATCTGCCAAGAAATGCTGTGCATGTAAGCTATAGCAGTGCATAATCTTATACATGAGAGTCCAAGAAGCAAAAGTAGTAGTTGTGGCCACAACAGTTCACTTGAATACAGTTCATTGGTACATTTACATTGAGAAAGTTGTAAACTTACCATTCACTTCTGGTTGGACATGGTGCTCATAATGATATTTTATCACTTAAATTTCAATTTTTCCGGTGTCTTCGTATTCAGGACTCACACAAATCCCAAAGAGAGAACTTCTTTTATGTAAACAATGCATAATTGGCTTTCAGTGATGAACTCCATGATCTAGCAATGCTAACTTCAGCAGCCATGATCATTGACTTTAGAAGCCATTGCAAATCACATTCCTTGATTTTCTTTGAGAAAAGAAACACAAATAATTTCTAACCAAAACAAAGAAACACGAATAATGCAATAAATGCTTCTTTTCATACATGGTTGCTTACAATAAATCCAACAGCTCATGATAAAGATATTATCCTCTTAGCATGAACCAATTGTAGTCCTAGTAAGAGAGGCAGCAAATCATTACAACATATACAATGGGCATCTATTAGTAAGATTGACATTCATAGCTTATAACTCATGAAGTCATTGATTCACTATACAGAAATCTACAGTATGACTCATTCTACAGAAATCTACAATATTTCTCATTCAGATAAAATTAGATGTTGCATCGCTACTGCAAAAATCATTTCGGAGTTAAGTGAATCCCTTAGTTAACTTTAATCATAGATTATAAAAGATCAGGACTTTGAATGTACATTTAAGAGAGAGAGAGAGAGAGAGAGAGAGAGAGAGAGAGAGAGAGAGAGAGAGAGAAGTTAAATCCTTTAATTTTCACTCCAACCTAACAAATCCATTTCCTTACCCTAAATGGGCATGATCCATGGTACTCATATGAATAAACATTGTCATTGAATATCATAATGAGCAAAAATTACTGAACTTTGCGGGTTCCCCTGCTTCCTTTTTTCCAATATTTGTATTAGATGAGCATCATTAATAATACAAGAGTGATATAAAAACATTACAAGAATACCAAATTTAAAAATTCAGCCTAAATTTTGAAAACAAACAATGCTGAGATATTTCCTGATTCACAAACCCAGAGTATTGCTGTAACTGAAGAAAGGGCAGGCAGAAAAGATAAAGAGCGCATGCATTTGGGAAGAAAAGAAAAGCATTAAATTGGGTTCATATAAATAAAAAGTGGAAATTGTACACCTCAGACTGTTGTAAACTGCCATGCAAAGCACCAGAGAGAGGTTGGTCTGACTGAAGCCTTGCCAATTTCCCGAAAAGACAGAGAGAGAAAGAGGGAGTGAATGTGTCTCTGAGTGATGAAACCTCGGGTGCAAAGTGAAATAGGGGTATAGACCATTGTAAATTTGTGATAGGATTTTGGGTCTGTGGAGGTAGGAGTTGCAGACATCTAAGACTTTACAAGTAAGTAGTTTCGAGGTAACAGAGAAACAGTGATTTTTTGTTGCAGAGGAGCAAATTAAACAGCTTTCTCTGTTTCTCCCCCAAGTCCATACTAGGGCTGGAAATGGCTCGTGTCGTGTCGGGTTCGTATCTTGTGAGGATCATATACGTGTTAATAATGCTCAATCCAAATCCAATCCGTTTAATTAAGGTGTCGTGTCAGATTGACCCCCTAATTTCCGGATTCCGAGTATGACAATACCATCCTCATCCCTGTTCTCTATCCTCGCCCTTGTCTCTGAACCCATCCCCGTTTAATAGGTTTCAGGAAATCCCTGTCCCCGTCCTTGTTGGGCTACTATCCCTCATACCGTCCTCGAATCCTTAATTTTTTTTTGCATAAAAAAAATTTATCATACACTTTAACATTAAGTTTCATATTAATTTATCATTCAACACATCCAAATTAAATATAAAGTTCAACTCAACTATTCAAAATCACTTCAATATGAAATTCCAAAGAAGATTAGGAAGAATTAGGAGAGTGAGGTTAACTTAGAGTTAAACATAAATATTATAATCATATATTTATTTATTTAAATATAAACATATATATTTTCGGGTCAGGTTCGGAGATGGGGACGCAAATACCATCCTCTCCCCATAACCGTTGATGATTTTTCAAGTTTCGGGATCCCCGTACCCTATACCCATTTGGCCCCGAAATCTCCCCCGAAATCTCCCCTCGTTAGGGTCGAGGACCCGCCCCTGCGAGGATTTTTGTCATTCCTACTAGTAACTAGTGAAGTAAAAAAATAAATAAATAAAAATAGAGAAACATATGATTATTTAAAGAAAAATTTTCATGGTCAAAATAAAACAAAAATAAATAAAAAAGAATAAAAAAAACATTAAAGACCCACATCTCGATGTATGAAGATTAAAAAAGAGAAATAAAGAAAAATTAGAAAAATGAAGAAGGACCAAAGAAACGGTTGGCGAGTTATACATGTATTTTAGTGGGTTGGCGGGTTGACTCAAAACTTAACCATTTATTAAATGAGTCATGGTGGGTTGACCCGAAAATAACTTGAAAATTTAGTCTTGTGAGTTGACCTACTAATTTTCCATGCTGGTCGTGTCAGAAATTGCCACCCCTAGTTCAAATCCAATCCTTTAAGGAAAAGGAAGGGGGTTCTCTCTCACACACACTATCAAGGTTTGTAATGAATTGAAATTCAAGAATAACAAAGTCTATTAAATTGCATGACACACTTTACGAAAGTCTATAAAATTCTATGAAAGTATGTCACTGAGATTAAGGTCATTAAAACTCTGAAAAGTCTATGAAAGTTAGCCACTTAAAAAAAGTGCACAAAAGTTTTTATAAGTATGGATTGAATACGCTTACTAAATCAAACGAAATAAAAGAACTTTAATCCAAGATGAAAATTATGAAATTGTATTTCAAGTATTAAATATAGGCAAAAATATACTTTTGATTCCTGTTGTTTGGCACTTTTATCACCTTGATCCCTGTCATTTCAATTTGGTCACTTTTGTCATTGTGATTTTCAATTTGAGCAATTAAAGGACAATCCTCAATTTTTGTCAAATCCCTCTAACTATTTCGGTCCAATGTGTCATTTAAGATTTAAAAAAATTGGAAAAATAAAAATAAATAATCTCTCTCTAAACCCCGCTAGCCACCACTGCCCTCTAACCGAACCACCACCCCAACCACCCAAAACCGCCAAACCCTATGCTCCTGTGCTTGTTTGTTCACGTGACCTACATGTGACACCATGATCACCATCAGATTACACCTCTCAATTCAATTACTTGCATAATATATTCAAATCCAAAAGCATCTCAAGACAATGTTTTGATCATAGTTCATATTGAAGTACCAGACGAAGTAGAGTTGCTCTTGGATATGTAATTGAGAAACGCGGTCTCGAGTGCAGAGATGAGAGGAGGTGTGGGTGGGTTTGAAAGGGAATGCCAAATTGAATTGGGGGAGAGAGATTTTGGCTGAGAAAATAAGAATAAGGGATTTCGGGAGAGGGAGAGTGGTAAGTGGGAAGGACTGGGAAGACATTGCGGCCTAGCACATACGCTTCTCTTGGCATGATGCCTTCAAGGCTTATAACTAGGGTTGGGTGTGGTCCGATTGGGTATAGTATTCACCTCAAATCGAATTCAGAACCGGTATTATTTAACCGGTCCAGTTCGGTCTGGTTTTAGTGAATTTTTTTTTTGAAACTGACGGTCCAGTTTGAACCGATTCTTGTCCGGTTTCTGGTTTTTCAAGTTTTGGATTGGATTATTATTATTATTAATTTTTTTAACTCTTTTTTTTTTTTATACAAATTCAAACTAAAATTTTATTTTTTGGGCTTGAAAATTAACAAATGATCCAATTTCATACAAAGGGAGATATTTGGCCTAAAAAATAAAGATGTTTTGAAGTTGGGCTTGGGGAAATATTAGTTATGAGATTAAAAATGTAGCATTAGAGTTAAATAATTTTGTTTAAAAAAAATTATACACAACACAACTAGTCCGGACTAATTCGATTCGGTTTGGTGCGGTATTGGAATGGGTTAGAATTGGTCCGGTCCAGTTCGATGTTGGTTTGTTGACTTTTTTAATCAACCAGTTTTTCTTCTAGTTTTTTCCATCTAGTATGGTTCGGTGTTCCGATTTTCCAGTCCCGATGTCCACCCCTACTTAGAACCACGGGTTCAAAAACTTTTGCTTTTCAATGGGCTTGGGTTTCAACCAACAAGGGATGGTGAAATTAAATTATTTTTTTGTTTTAAAAATATTACTTTTATATTAAAACTAATTTTTTAGAAGGAATGAATTTTTAATAATTTGTTGACCGAATTGCCCCTCCACAAATAACAGAAGTTAAATAAATTTAACAGAAATTGAGGATTGTCCTTAAATTGCTCAAAGTGAAAACTACAGGGACAAAAGTGACCAAATTGAAATGACAATTACCAGTTGTAAAAGTGACAAACTACAGGAAGCAAAAGTGACTTTTTGCCTTTTATATATATATAATTATTCTCTTATCCAGATGTCCACACATTATTATCATGCGGATGCTATTGTAAATAGGCAGGAAAACAAGGAGGGATAGTACAAAATACATTGCTTTCGCACCATTATAACATTCGGATGTCCACGTAGGAGAATTTTTGACGGACCTAATAAAGGACTACTGTGGGCACTTGCCCACACTTAAAAGAAAGTTGCAGCCATATAATCCCACCCAAACTCACATTTTTTAATTTTTTTTAGATCCTTCTTAGGTGGAGCCCCCACATGGCCCAATCCAATGTATACAAGCCCAATGCTTATATTAAAAAGAAAAACCCTATGTTATAAAAGAAGAATAGAGATCTCACCAAGTTCACTCATTCTATAATTTTGTGGAAAACTCAGCCACCAAGTTCACTTTAAGCCCAAATATTTTTTGTTTGGCTATATATTGGATGGATTTTTTTTAAGCCCCCCGATGAATGAAAGTTTGGGTCCGCCACTGATCAAATAGTTTTGGATTCTAGTGATTTTTTGTAGAGATAATTTTTTAGAGAATATCTAAAAACTAACGGTTCAGATAATTAAAATATAATCCATAATGAGCCCTATAATGGTTTCCCTCAAATCTCAGCTATATGTATATATGCGATCTCTGTCGGCTCTTCCAACACAACACGTAAGTTTGCCTCTGCCCATTTTCCCTTTGAAACTCAACGTACGAAGACTTTAGCTTTGTTTCTCAAGTCAACCGAGCCCCAGTCTTCTCTTGGATTCATTTGAAGTTTCAATTTCAACCATTTGCACAAATGGAGGCCACGTTTTGATACCCTTTTGGGTATTCGTTTAACGCAAATCATGGGGAAGCTAGTGTCGCAAGTTCACAACTGATGTGACGGAATTAGCAGAACAGAACAGTCAAGGAACAGGGACAGGAACAGAAACAACAAAGGAGGAAAGATCTGCGTACTGAAGTCTAACACAAAAGGAAAAGTCTGCATATGGAGAGTTTCAATTTCTTTCTTTATTCATTCTCTGAATTATTTTCTGTAGGGGTTTACTTCCAAATCGATTTTCTCGTTTATGAAGCTTGGTTAGAGGATTTATTGCATGGTATATTCATTTTGGGTTTTTTTTGGGTTCAATCTATAAAAAAAACCCAAGCACTATTTAAACATATAAACACACCCAAAACTCATCATTACACACACTCAAAACTCATTTATAAACACACCCAAAAAGTTGACTTTTGAGTTAATTTTGGGTGTGTTTCTATGTTTAAATAGTGCTTGGGTTTTTTTATAAATACATGTCTAGGA